TGTGTATGTGTGGTGAGTTTGTGTGTGTGATGTATGGTGTGTGTATGTGTGGTGTGTTTGTGTGTGTGTAGGTATGTGTGGTGTGTGTATGTGTGGTGTGTGTGTGGCGCATTACCCATTTGCACCACTCAGGGACTTGGGAAAAGCAAAGCCTGGCCCAAACATAAGGCACCACCCAGCTTTGGCAGTGAGTGCTGAGTGCCTTGACCTCATGTGCAGCGAGGGGAATGGATGGGGCGGGCTATTGCGTTTTCTAGACCCCTAAGCAAAGGCCTCCCCAGAGCGTGCCCTCCAGGGAAGGGGGTTTTGGTTCAAGGAACAGCAGCATCTCACAGTGGCTCTACAAGTGCCTGGCCGGCCACGCTCCAGTATCTCCCAGGCCAAGGCTCCCGACGCTCCATGACCTCTGCTAGGATTGTCAATCCTTTTTCCTTTCCAGGGGAGAGGGAGAGATGCCCACCTGGGGACATTTGTGTCATTTAGACAGCAGGAAGTTTGTTTGCCATTAGAAATATGACCCTCTGCAGTTGATGTTCTCTTGGGGGAGGAAAATCCTGGAGGCTGAAGACGGAGCCGCCAGCCAGGTGACAGGACTCTGTCTCTCGTGTCCTTGGTGTCTTTGGTGGAGTGTGGCCTCCCTTGCTCACAGCACGAATCACCTGTCTCCCTGCATCCCTTCATTTTTTGGGTTATCAAAGCAGGGCTGGAGGTAGGTGGGTTGCATTATTCCTATTGACAAAGACTCTGTGCCCCGAGGTCTGAAGTGACTTGCCCAAGGACAACAAGACAAGTCTTGTCTTCTGAGCAGGATATTGGAGGATCCTGGGCTCACACACTGGCCTGACAGCCTCAGATCCCCACATGTGGCTCTGGCAGCTGAAGCCTCATGTCTGCACCCTGGCAGTGAACAGCTCAATGGGTATATTGGGCTTGAGGGCACTGGGTATTGTAGCTATTGAGTTGTGGTTCCACAGTAGGGAGGAAAGTATCCAATGCCATTGAGGAACAGATGTTCAGGAACAGCACTTGAAGAGGTAGTTGTCTGTTCTCACCAGAGAGAAGCAGATAGGAGGAAGAATCTTCCTACCATGGCGCAGAAGTGGGTTCTCCATCAGGGTCTGCCACTTTTTACCACAAGGGGGCAGTAGTTAGCAAACAAGTTTTTCTTCAGTGATTTCAATGTTTCCTTATGAAATTATTACTTTAATAATAGTGTACGTAAACCCTGTTCTTACCTTTTATCCTCCCGAAGGAAACTATCACCGAGGTGCAGGAATGACGTCATTTACTAAATATCATCTGCTTGTGTCACTAAACAAAGATTGCTCCAGGCAGATGGTCATTCCGACGGATAGGTTTCCTGGCACAGGGAAACAGGA